TTTAGAGTGATTTGTATACCTAGTGAGACTCCTTTGGAAAAAACTAAATTTTCCATTTTCAAGTGTTTTCCTTTGGAGATTCTTCTGGGTTAGGGATGGCAGCTTGTGTTTACTTTCCCTGTCAGTACTGGGACCCCATTGGGCTGAGACCTGTGCAGGCCTGTTCATGCTGCTACAATCTCTGTGTGGTTATATGTTCATCATTCCTGTGATGTTTAGAAGGTTCTCTATTCCTGACAACTCTTATATTCTTTCCTTCTCTCTTCCTCTGGTTTCTCTGAGCTTCAAGGGATGGGAATTGATGGAGACCCCCCACACAGGATTCAGTGTTCCATGGTTTCTCACTCTTTGATCTTTGTCTAACAGTAGGTATATTTATCATCATTTATTGCAGAAAGAAACTTTTTCAATGATGGCTGGGTGAGGCACTGATTTATGAGTATAACACAATGTTATTAAAGGTCATTTTATTACAATGTTCCTTTAGCAAAATAGTAGTATTTGGTTTGCCATTGGGTCTGGCCTATCTAATTTCAGGTTCTTGGCCACTCATGTGGTATCAGGGGTGGGTTTCAGTGAGTCCTAAATTCAACCAGATATTGGTAGTTATCCTCACAAAATTTGTTCCACTATTTTAGTAGCATATTTTGCATGCAGATCAGCATCGTAGACTAAAAAGCTTGTAGCTGGTTTGGTGTTTATCTTTCCACTTTGTTAGTGTGCTGAGTATCTCCAACTACTGTGAACACTAGTCATTAGGAAGGAAGGCTGTAGGTAGGCAGCAGCTTAAATTCTCCAAATTCAGTAAGTTGTGTAGATGTTGTGTTCAGTAATAGACCTCACTATTTGCTTGTGGAGAGCAACCTATAGCCTTGGCAATAGCCTGGGTTCCTTGTGAGTTCTTATGGGGCCCTTTTGGCCAAAAATGTGATTATATGTAACTTATTCCTGGTACTGGAGGCTTCATTTGATGATGAGAGATCTCTGGTTGGGGTTCTATTTTCCATGTTATTTGGTAATTTCGTTTAGATCACCTTCATATATGTGTATACTTTAGAACAGGGAATACCCACAGCCAATCTGTACTGGGGGTGGCAGGCACAGCCATGAAGGAGAGCCATGGCTCCTGCCTTGACTGTCCTCATGTAATGGAAGACATTACACAAGTCATTACCAAAGGTGTGACTGATATGTAAAGAAAATCACAGGCAGTATCAAAGCCTGAAGCATGAGGACATGGCCTGAGAAAAGACTCTTTAGGCTAGGGTCTGGAGAAGGAGAAAATAAAATAAAACAAAACAAAACAAAATAAAATAAAATAAAATAAAATAAAATAAAATAAAAAATAAAATAAAATATAATAAAATAAAATAGGGAGAGTAAGGGTTAGTGAAAGAGGAGGAGGAGACCTTAAAGGCAACAACATATTAATCCATGTTAGTATGGAGAGGTCTCTCGTTTCAAGCCACACCAGCTCATATAGTGCTTTTATATGTAAAAGTTCTCTCTGTTGACCCCAAGTGCTTAGATGCCCCACCATGATCCTATAGCATGGGTCCTATGATGACACATCTTTTCTTACAGGGCAAGATTTTATAAAATGCAATACTAAACCATATGGGTCACTTTTCCCGATATTTAGATAACCGATAAAATATAAGTTGAAATTATTTGTATTGCCAGAAGATTATAGGTTATTTATGTTTGCTGTCTGGATAAAGATCATAGAATAGTCAGTGGCGTACAATGGGGAAAATGTTGCTTTCTTATGGTAAATATAAGTCATGTATTATGACTCTTCACTTTTGAAACTGTAATTCTAAGTAGGATATGTCCTTTGTTGGTTTGTTCATTTTTTTTTCTACCAAAAAGGAAGTGACTCTTAGATGTCTCTAGTCTTTGATGAAATACAAGAAAGCCAGGCAGACAGAGACAAGAAAAATACAGAAGCAGAGAACAGTCTAGAGATGGACAAGAGGGAAATTCTGGCATAAATGATATGGGCATCATGACTAGGAGAAAGGGAGAGATGTTTGAGACACAAATCTGGAAATCTATACAGGAATCAAAGAATGAAAAATTATCATCTTATTTTGTTATATATAGAGAAAGAACACGAAGCTGGGTGGTAGGGAGGTGGGAAGGACTTGAGAGAGTCTGGGGTAGGGGAAATAAAATATGAAAAACCTTGAATTAAAATGTAATAATCTTGGGGCTGGAAAGATGGCTCAAATGTTGACAGCACTAACTGTTTTCCCAGAGGACCTGTGTTCAACTCCTAGCAACCTCATGGTAGCTCACAACTGTCTGTAGTCCAGCTCCAAGTGATTTGACACCCTCACACAGACACACATGCTGACAAAACACCAATGCACATAAAATAAAAATAAATCAATCATTAAAAATTATTTTCAGGCCGGGGAGTGGTGGCACACGCCTTTAATCCCAGCACTTTGGAGGCAGAGGCAGGTGGATTTCTGAGTTTGAGGCCAACCTGGTCGACACAGTGTGTTCCAGGACAGCCAGGGCTCCACAGAGAAATCCTGTCAAACACACACAAAAAATATTTTCATAGCTATGAGTAATATGCTTACATCATGAAGTTTTAAAGTGTGGAATATGAGTATGTTACGAAATTTCTAAACCAAAAAAAGAAAGAAAGACAGAAAGAAAGAAAGAAAGAAAGAAAGAAAGAAAGAAAGAAAGGAAGGAAGGAAGGAAGGAAGGAAGGAAGGAAGGAAGGAAGGAAGGAAGGAAGGAAGAAAACCATTTCTCAACTGTCTCCTGGTCTAACTATAATGATTAAGTTTTTGGGCAATCTGATCAAGCTTTTCTCCCTAATACCAAAGGCAATGGCTGCTTCCCAATCTATCCACTAAATGTCTACAAGTTACACTTAAACACCTTGACATAAATCAAGTTTCATTATAAGAAGTAGTTGAGGTTATGGCTCAGATGTGCAAAGCTGGAGCCCTGTGATCTCTTCTGCTATGAGTGCATCAAACTCTTCTAAACCAACTTGATGCTTTATGTTGATGACAAGGGAGAACCGATGAGGCTTTGACCTAAAACAAATGGGAGCTGAGGAAAGAGATCCAACCAAAGGCAACCAGTGCCCTGGACAGGAAGTGGCTAAGCCAAAGTGTTTAGTTTAAGAGAAATCACAAGAAAAACTGGATTCATATCTATCTTTTTGTTCATTTTTATTAGTTGAGAATTCCATACATGCATATTAAGTGCATTGATCAAAACCATTCCCCACATCCTTCTCATTCATCCCCCATCTCCACATACCTATTCCCTCCTAAATTCATGTGTTCATTTTTAAAGCCCAGTGAGTCCACTTAGTGCTACCTATATGTGTGTGTGGGTGTTTGGCATAGGTAGCCTCTCAGGGACCACATATCTGAAGAAAGATGACTCTCCTCCCAGCGGCCATAGATTGCCAACAGATCTCCAACTAGGGATGGCTCTTCATGACTCCTCCCCAACTTGTGCTTGAACACTGAGCATATTATTTGTTGATATTTTTCTCCTAAATAAGTTTTCTAAATACAGAACTATAAAATTGTGAGTAGAAAAAAATATGTTTTTATGTACGCAAGCATAATCTGTGGGTATTGCAGCCACAGATAATTAACCAAGAGCATAAAAACAAGAGACAGAACCAAGGCCTCTCTGCAGGAGTGAGAAGAAACCACCACAGGGCTCCAGATCCTACAGACTGGTGGTGTGTACAAGGTTAGGATTTGATTTGGTCTCTTTGATAACCCATTAATTCCAGCATTATCTTCCTATTCACCTCTTCCTCCTATCATGATTAAGAATATCACCAGTTTGGGAAATAAAATTCCTTGGTTTAAATATTTTCCCAAAGCTGGATTCCCCTCAAGACAGAATCTATGGTAAGGTAAAGAGAAGATCAGTTGCTAAAAACATTTAGAGATTCAATTTTGTATTTAGTTAAAATTCAATAATTAACATAGGAGAGCAACTAAAGGTCATTGAACTTTCATCTATCTTTTGGGCAAATTTTTGTTAACTTTATAACTCTGTTGAGGATAAGATCAACAGTCTATCACTGTATGGACATCTGTAAAATCTGACACTTTGTCTTCCAGAGTGAGTATAGAAGTTGTTTAGTATCCATGGCATTTTCTCCTGTATGATGAGAAGATATTAACCTGATGGAAGTCCACCCATGTAACTCAGACAAAATGCTCTACACAAGTCTTAGGACAACACACTGATGGTTCCTTCAGTGTCAGGAGAGTTTAGTGATTTCTTAGTGTTTTTCATGTGCAAAGCATCCTCCAAGGGATACTGGTGGTATCTGAGGAAATGGTCCCTGAGTTTGGGATGTGCTGAAGAGATGTGGAAAGGGACATTCATCAGGTTCATTATCACAAGTAACTTTCTCAAGAAAGCATGGAATGATATTTAAAACAACCCAAAATATAGTTTAAAGTCAAACAGTGCAGAAAAATAGTTAAGGCAGTGAGTGTCTCAAGCCAGAACACAGTGAAGGTAGTACTGTGGTCCTCCCTTATCCCACCCATTTTACCCCATCCTAATGCCTTTACCCAACCCCAGCCGCCTCCAAGGCCCCTGCTACTCCATCCCCATGTACATCTTCAGGGGGTGATCTTCCCAGGAAGGATAGCAGGCCAGATCTTTAGCCACCTCCTTCTGGATAGGCCAGCCCCAGGCTTCAAAGAAAGGAACCAGGTTCTTCTGCACTTGTTCAGAGAACAACTTCAGCCATATGTTCATCTTGCTCTCGTTGTCTTCAGGGATGTGAGAAATGGTTTGGTATTCAGCAAAAAGACTGATGAATGGCTCCCACCCAAAGGCCTCCTGGAGCTGGAAAGAGAAAGAAAGGGAAGAATGTGGTATTGAATTTGCAAAAGTGACTGTTGTCCCAAATTTGCTGTCACAGGTATATCTGACTATCAGTGATTACTTCCTACCATCAGCTTCAAATTCATTGTTTGCCCCACCCCTGGGCCTGTCTCCAAATAAATGCTATCTCACTGGATTCTGATAGTGCCTAGCCATCAATCTCGTAAAGTTGTTCTCAGGAACACTAATGTATAAAAAAAGGTTAATAAATTACAGTGACTATTACTAGCCTTATTTTAAAAAATGTCTTACCCAGATCATAAGAGCTCTCCCCAGCCTGACTGAGTTAAGTTACTCATTGAGAAAATATCTCATTCACTTTACAAAAATCAGTGCAGGGGAAAATTAGAGGGTAGCAGCCTAAGAAGCTAAGGTTTGCTGTCAACTCCTGATTCTCAGCTCTAAATCTATCATTTAAGAGTTTCACTTTTGGACATGGTGGTTAAATTCTTTATGATTTATGAGCCCCTGTGACCAGTGAGTTATATAGACACTCTGCATAGGTTTGCAGTAGAAAGTCTACCAGGTCTGATAAGGACAGGAGCTTTGATGACTTGACATGTAAGTTGAAAGCACATCGTTGGGAGGCTGCAGAGAGAAATGCTTATCCTCAGGAAGGGAACTAATCTTGGGACATCATTGTTCTCCTATTGGTTGGTCATTATTTATTCAAACAATGCTTCTGCTTCTATTGGAGTAGTCAAAAGCCTAAGACGTTTGTAAGTAGATTTATTTCCTACAATAGGTATGTATAATGCAGACGCCCTGTAGATATATCCCTGTCATTATAAGAAGCTGTTAATAGTCACCCGTAATATAATAAAGCAATGGTAATTCCTGAACAGTTATTGGGAGATGACAGATGATGCCAGTGAGAGCCAGACTGGTGACAGTCTCAGTGATAGCTGATGCAGAGCCTTCCCTCTACATCAAAGTCAGGACTGCCCAGATGCACATGCTATGCAATTTCTCAGAATACTCTCCACTTTCATGTATATTCCAAAATCTTGGATCAGGGAGTGGGATAGGTGTCACTCTGATCATACAAGTACATACTCTGAGAAGTAGCACCAGTGAGCCACACCCAGCAGTGGTGGTTGTGGTGGTCTTAGGTTTGTGGGAGTCCTGTTGGAGTTGGAAAACGCTCGGGGGGCAGGCTACTATATGACTGAGGAGTCTGCTATCACTATCTCCTTGAATTTGTGCTTAGTACCTGCAGATATGTCTCCAGTGCTGTCCAGACATTCCAGTCATTCAGGGGTGCTCCCTTCTGAAGGTGTGCTTTAATTCTCTTTTCTCTTTCTTCAGGTTTCAGTTCAGGGTGGGCCTGAGCCCTGGGAATCCCCAGGACTGTCTCATGAACGTAGACTGACCAGAGATTGCAGGTGGCCTCGGTGGTATGTGGGGGGAACTCCCAACCACGGCGTTGCTGATTGTGGCCCAGCTCATGGATGGGTCCCCACAGGCCCTCACTTCTTATGTTTGCCAAACTTATTAGCTCCTGCACGGACTCCTCTTGACACATGATGGGGTATCCTGAATGCATCCAGCCTGGGGATACAAAGAAAGAGACAGAACATGAGAACAGGGTCTGCTTCAACTTTCTTTTTCCACCCCTTTCCCAGCTGAGCTCCTACAACCCTGGTTATATCCAGTGATTCCAGAATATCTGAGCTGTTTGGAAAGCACATGGCTTTCCTCTAGTATTGACTCCTTCCCAGATTCTCCCATCTGAGCCTTGGCCTTGTCCTCACTCTGACCCTAAAGGGTGAGAAAATCCCTTACATAACTGTCCTTCTTGGAATTTGATGCTTTGTTTTCAAGAGTTTTCATTTCCATTTCAATGCCCTATGTCTGGACTAGAGAAGCTAGGGTAATCTCACTTTTCCCCCACAATTCTCATTGCTAACCAGATTTGCCTGGCATATGTAGAGATTGTTTTGTAGGTAAGAGTTTATCTTCCTTATATGAGACTCAGGACTCTGAATGTTTTCCCAACATTTATGTATCTTCTTGGCAAAGGCCTTGGTACTAGTACCAACCACAGAAATCTATATTCACCCTCCCCTTTCATTTTTCAATTCTGACTTATATCTGAAGAGAATAGTCCATTTTGAATATTCTTTTTGAGAAGATCTTCACAGACACTGGTGACCTCTCAGCACAGAGTTTCTGGAGGTGATTACTGACTTAGGTAACTGCATCATGGAAGATGTTAGTGATTTGCCTTTTATTTGTAACTGTTTTTCACTTCCATCATGGTCCATGATTTTATGCTTCCCCCTTGTACGTTAATAATGTAATCATGATTTACAACTCTTGTAAAGTAAAAAACAGATAAAGTAATAACAAAATGAACTTTGATCATGAGAACTCCCCTGAAGCACCCACCAGCTGATATCTGAACATCTGCAACAATTCTCTCAGGTATTTTGAAAGGGAAGGGCTGGGCTGCGAGCCTGGCCACAGCCCGCATAATCTCATCCCAGAGTTGGAGCAGAGGTTCTGGATCCTCCAGAATCTTGAGGCTTGCAGTTGGCACTGTCAGGATGACATTGTCTGTGGCCAGCTCTCCCCAGGGGCCTAGGTCCTTCTGGATGCAGCTTTTCCACTCCTCCAGTGATGTCTTACCTAGAAATACATAGCATGACACCTGCAACCCATTTCTGTTTGAGGAGAGAGGTGGGGGAATTTGCCATGGAGAGGCAAGACAGAGGGTTGGGAAGACAGACAGAGACAGAGAGAGGAATTACAGAAGAAAGCACTGATATAACCTACAGTCATGCAGTTCCATAGGCTTCGGGTGAAGGACAAGTCATTAGATCCCTCCGTTGTACCCAAAGTCTCCATAGATACAGGGTGATCCACCTCTTGCCTGAAGATTCATGTTCACTAGTTCTGTTTTCGTTCTCTTTACTAATTCTTATTATTAACAACCCCACAATCACCAAGAACCCCACAGCTCAATTTATCCTCAATGCCCAGAGTACTCACCTAGCTTGTAGTATGGAGCAGGCACTGCCTTCGTGAAGGTAACAGATACAGGGCCAAGTTGACAGCCTTTGGGTACAATGATGTACAGGAGACCACCCCAGAGGCAGGAAACTGACTGTTGGGTTTTGTTCATACAGCACTGGTAAGTTACCACAGGGGCTCGAAACAGCTGTTTGGCCTGGCTAAGGTCATCAGTGTGACATCCAATCTGTACCTGGACAGACAATTTCATCACAAGAAGTCAAGTACAGCACTCAAGAAGCATGCAGGACTTTGTTAGGGGCTTGTAGAGGGTCGTGATTATATCTGAAATCCTAACGTCTCCCTTCTGTGAAGGATGCATACAATGTATAAAACTGTAGCACTGCAAAGCCTTCTGTACTTCCTAGTATGTTTAATTAATTTGTTCGGGGTGTAAAACAGTCCAACAATGGATTTCCTTTTGATATGAGTGAGTGGGCTGATCTCCAGGCATAGCTGATTAGGGACTTATGGAATCTCATTACCAGGCAGAATCCTGGAATCTTACATGAGACTTAAACAGTGGGTGGCTCTGATGTTTTAAGTGCGGCATTGCATCCAATTCTACTCTTGTGAACAGATACGTGTCCATCCAGATGCTACAGCATCAAGCCAGGAGGCAGAGAACTCATTCTCTCCTCTCAACCCTACCTGCTCTTTCTAGAGTCACGGGGCTGCCTTTTTGCCTTTATCTGATTGAAGCAGATAAATCAGAGAGAGCCCCTAATAAGCTGGTGGTGATTGTGCATGCCTTTAATCTCTGAACTTGGGAGGCAGAGTTCAAGGTTCGGCTGACAAAAGAACAAGGGCTGCACAGAGAAACCCTGTCTCAAATTAAAAATTCCTAATTGTAGTAGAAAGTGGTGCTCAGAACGAAAGGTGAAGAGGTAAAACTCAGGCCTCTGCTACGAGGAAAACTGGTGAGTGCTGGTCTATAAGGTCACTGATCTCCCTTATCTATCTGGTTGGTAAGATTGTCACACATGGAAATTAGGTTTAGGAAAGAGCTTGAGTCACTAGTAGCTTGAACTTTCTGCTGTTCCATCTACAAGAGGGGCAGAATAACCTTCCCCTGAGCTCCTGCTGGACAAACTCAGCAGGAGAGGTATGAACACCTGTCTGTTGTGGAAGATTCTTGGCTGTCCTTGGGGAGGTGCTGGTTCTGGATGGCTCGCCTTACCTTCAGGCCAGCAGAGGCAGCAGCTTCAGAGACAGAGATCTCTGTGCTTTGTCCTTCCAGGAGGTAGAGCCCAGTGCTCATCCAGACGTTGCTGTCACCTGACAGAGAAGTCATAAAGGAGACTGAGTTCTATGTTCTTACATGGCCTGATTCTACTTGGAGCCTTCCACACATTCAACTTTCCTTCCATGAACTTCAAGTCATTCATCCATACTTCCTGGACCCATTCGTCCCTGGCTTAACTAAGCACAACCCTGGCTTCCACTGTCTTGGAAAGACCTATTAAAGTATGGAGCTAGCCTTCCTGAGGACCAGAACCTGGAAGGAAGTCATCCAAAGCCACCTTATCCCAGGCCAGGAATACTCTGGGCATTCTCTGCTCACTCCATACCTGGGTTGGTTCCATCGATTTCCACAGTAATGGGGTATTTTGAGGAGCTGAGATTGGAGGAGCAGGTCTGAGTATCAAGGTTGTGAACTATCTCAGAGCAATCAGTTCCAGAATGTGCCAGCTCTGTGGCTAGACGGAGTAGTGCAGCCTCACAGGAGTGACTGGACACTGGATTTTTCTTGCTCACAGCTGGGATGCCTGCCTGTCGAAGCATCTTCCTCAGGATCCGGTGCACAGATAAATAAGCAGGAACTCCCTGTGCAGGAATCTGAAGAAAGCCTGCCCCATCGACTCCTAACTTTCTCAAATACTTCTTTTCCAAGTTCCCACCTTTGTGGTTCAACATAGCCTGGAACTCAGAAAGAGCCCTTCGAAAGTGGTAGTTCCTTATATCTATAGGAAGGAGAGGGAAACAGCCTGGGTTGATAGTCTGAGGCAAAATGCTGAGGCCAAAGGTGTTGAGGATGATATTCCCAGGGAATCTACCCAAAGCAGAGATGCCTGGGTTCTGCGAAGCCCACCACCAGGACTGTCCACCAATGAGCAATCCTCCACCCTCTGCTACAAACTCCTGTATTTTCTTGGCATCCTGGTCACTATAAGCTACACAGCAGTAGACACCCATGTCATTGGTCAAATGGGGCTCCAGGCTGCATTTCAGGCCATGCTTCAACAATAGGGAATTCAGACTCTTGAGGCTATTGTTCACCCCAATAGTAGCTCTCTGGTCTCTGGACAGCCAATGTATAGCATTGAGCAAAAAGGGTTCCAACTTAGGAGCCTCGAGTATGGCCTCATGTGCAGCCAACACCACACGCCCACGGCCATAGTGGGCAGCTGCTAGGAAGCAGCTAAGGAAGGAGTTATCGAGCCCCACAGGGAAGGCCAGGGAGCCGTGCACCAACAGTTGTGAGGGGACACCCCCAGTCCTGATGTCCAACATACAGATCCCATCCAGAAGCTGCTCCTGGTCACGCCTGAGCTCCTCCCAACACCTGGGAAGAAGATGAGAGAGATGAAGAGGATGTAGTCAGCTAATAAGCCACCTGTTACAGCCCATTGAGGGAAGAAAAATGACATGGTTTGTATCAATCTTTTGTTTCTTGCCCATACTATTTTGGAATTTAATAATGTATGTCTTATTAATCTAATGATTTTTTATCATCTCACAATTCATCACATATCATTGTTCATATTTGCTCTTGCTTAGCAACAAAGAAAACACTGGTGCTTCTTATACCTGAGGTTTTCATAGATTTGAAGAGAGAGTTAATGATTGTGTTCATATATACTAAAATCCACATTCTCCAAATGAAACTTTCCAAGAATCCTTGATTAGTCAGCCAAGTGAATATTATGTCTCAAGTTTCATGTCTTAAACATTATTAAAGCATATAAACAAAGCTGTAAAACCCAACAGTCTGATAGAGCACTCCTACTATGCCTCTGCTGTTGTGGGTCTTCAGATTTAAGACCATAGAAATATCACACAAGTCTCCCCACAGGCTTGCTCAGAAATCAACAAGTTACAAGTAGAAACAATTGTTTTTGCTTCTACTGATTTATATAGATAGCCATATATCTTTTAGAAATTTCACCTAGGGCAGATGAAATAGCTTAGAGGATAAATGTGCTTTTACCAGGCCTGGTGACCTGAGTTTAGTACCTGGGATCCATGTAGTGGAAGGAAACAAGCAACTCCTGGAAGTCCTCTGACCATGGCATGTGTACCCACCCACACCCACATCCATGCATCTCTCTCTCTCTCTCTCTCTCTCTCTCTCTCTCTCTCTCTCTCTCCCACCTCTCTCTCACACACACACACATACACACACGAACATCACACAATCCTCTGTAAATAAGTGTAAAAAGAAATTTAAAATCCTTACTTAAATACGATAGGAGTATTTATTACTCTTTACTGAGATATGGTCAACATAAAAATAAATTCTTATAAGATTTTGTATTTCAGGAATAAAAAAACAATTTCTATAGGAGATGGATTAAATACACCATGCTAACCTTATAAACAAGTCAGTAGTTAGATAGTATTGGAAAGGCTTAATGGGATGTAGAAATTAGACCCCCAAGAGACTGAGTCAATTTCATAAAAATGCTAAAAATCCAGAAATTATAAAATATTGAATTTGTTTATGTTTGACTGCTTATCTGAATGTACACCTTCGAGCCAGAAGAGGGCATCAGATCCCATTATAGACAATTGTGAGCCACTGTGTAATTGCTGGGACATGGATGGTATGTACTCACTGATAAGTGGCTATTAGCCAAAATGTATAGAATACTCATGATACATCCCACAGACCCTAAGAAATTAGCAAGAAGGAAGGCCCAATTGGGGATGCCTAAATGCTACTTAGAAGGGGAAGCAAAAGAATCATAGGAGGCAGAGGGAGAGAGGGACATGGGTGGGAGAGGGGAAGGGGAGGGGAAAGGGGGAGCAGGATCAGTTATGTTGTGTGTTTGGGGGGAGACAGGAGAGAAACCAAGAGGGCCAGGAGAATGAATGGAAATATGGAGCTGTGGGGGTGAGGGGGTGGAGGGTGCATGGTAGAGGGAACCCCTAAGAAAGTCACAGAGACCTGGAATGGGGAGGCTCCCAGGACTCAGTGTGGATGACCATAGCTGAAATGCCCAACACTGAGCATATGGAAGCTGAAGAGACCACCTCCAGGAGTCAGACAAAACCTCCTGTGGAGGGATGGAGACATCAACCCACCTACAAAATCTTCAGCCCAAAATTGCTCCTGTCTAAAAGAAATGCAGGGAGAAAAACGGAGCAGAGACTGAAGGAATGGTGGACCAGTTAAGGTCCCAACTTGGGATCCATCCCATGGGTAGGCACCAATCCCTAACACTATTACTGATGCTATGTTGTTCTTACAGACAGGAGCCTAGCATGGCTGTCCTCTGAATGACTCTTCCAGTAGCTGACTGAGATGAATGCAGATACTTACAGCTAAGCATTGGACTGAAGTTGGTGACCCCAATATAAGAGTTAGGGGAAGGA